AGACTTAGGGTTCCAAAAGGGTTCTGAAAGGAAGTTATGCTTAGGGGTTGTTGGAGGCTCACTCACTTGCTATTTACTGCCTCTAAACGTGGAATTTTGTGTCTTGCTGCCATGCTTGGTATGCCGGGCATCCTAGACCCTAAACCCCAAACCCTAAACCCTAAACCCTAAACCCCAAAGCCCAACCCCCAAAAGCCCCAAAAGCCCCAAAAGCCCCAACCCCGCGGAGCGGCCCAGGCGAGAGGAGAGCCGATTTAGCGGCACGCCCTGGGCCGTGAGGCTTCGCAGTTTCGGTGTTGAGGGGGCGGGGGGGGGGGGGGGGGGTTGTTCTGAATGGAGGGGTTTAGGGCAGTTTAGGGTTTAGGGGTTGAGGGTTTGGGGTTTGGGGCTGAGGGTTTGGGGTTCAAGGTTTTTTTTGTATGAGAAGCCTTTAGCGGGTTCTATGGGTCCATATGAGGTGCCATCATCTTCACCACCCGATGCCTGGGTTTTCCTCCAAGCTACAAGTATATAGCCTGGCTCAAGGCCTGTCTCCCAGAAGGGGAAAAGCGCCCAAACCCAAAGCTGAGCCCAGGCTCTGGGTAGCACTGAAGCCCTGAATTCACAAATTCTACTATGTTTAAGAGGCCCCCCCAAAGAATAAAAATAGATGCTTCCTTTTCAGGGTACAGTAGTAGAGGGATTATCATTTTTATTTTTGGGGGGTTCTTAAGCAAGCAGTAGAATTGGATCCCACACCCAGCACGGCCAGTCTTGCTGTCTTGGCGTCCACTGAACTAGTGAAAGATCCTACGCCCTAAGCCGCAAGCCCTAGACACGAAGCCACAAGCCCCAAAAACTCAAAACCCTAAGCCCTAAACCCTAAGCCCTAAACCCTAAACCCTAAACCCGAGACCCTCCCTCAACCCCGATTGCACAGGCCGGGCGCCGGATTCGAGGAGGCCTGCAGTGGCCCGGATTTGGGAGCGGGTTGAAGCTTAAAGGATTGGTTTCTGGGTCCTCGGTTTCCGGATGTGGGAGTTATAGGGTATAAGAAGGGCTTAGGGGTGGAGTTTGCTTCGGACGGGGTTGATGCGACTTGAGTTTCCGGGCTTCTTCAGCTTGCTTCTAGGCACAGGTTCGGGCATGGCAGCATGCCCGGTAGGACATTCTTGTGCGCAGGCATGCTGATGTTTTCTTAGGAGAGATGTGGAAGAATGTCCTTGACCCTGTAGATTTCAAGCAGTACACTCCTACATCAGAAATGTGCCAGGATGGGAGCGCTCTCTCGGATCCACAAAGCTCCCCTGAGCCTGAAAAGGTCCGCAAAAGCAAAGCACATTATGGCCCAGAGCCCTCCATCCAAGATCCCCGAAGCACATTTTGGGGCCCGAAGCCCTAAACCCTAAGCCCTAAACCCTGAGCCCTAAACCCTTAGCCCTAAACCCTTAGCCCTAAACCCTAAACCCTAAACCCTAAACCCTAAACCCTAAACCCTAAACCCTAAACCCTAAACCCTAAACCCTAAACCCCAAAACAAACCCCAATATGGCGGCTTGAAGACAGGCCCCGAGCGCTTCTGGAATCCATGGCCGAGGCAGGGTTTTAGGGTTTTAGGGTTTTCTGAGGGTTTTTAAGGGTTTTTTAAAGGGTTTTTTGAGGGTTTTTATGGGCTTGTTTAGGGTTTTTTACGGTTTTGTTAGGGCTTGAGGGTTTTAGGGTTTTAGGGTTTTAGGGTTTTAGGGTTTTAGGGTTTTAGGGTTTTAGGGTTTTAGGGTTTTAGGGTTTTAGGGTTTTAGGGTTTTAGGGTTTTAGGGTTTTAGGGTTTTAGAGTTTTTTTTAAGGGTTTTTTAAAGGTTTTTTTTGCTAAGGTTTTTTTAGGGTTTGTTTAGGGTTTGTTTAGGGTTTGTTTAGGGTTTTGTTAAAGGTTTTTTTAGGGCTTGAGGGTTTTAGGGTTTGAGGGTTTGAGGGTGTGAGGGTGTTAGGGCTTTAGGGGTTTTAGGGTTTGAGGGTTTGAGGGTTTCAGGGTTTGAGGGTTTCAGGGTTTGAGGGTTTCAGGGTTTCAGGGTTTCAGGGTTTGAGGGTTTTAGGGTTTTAGGGTGTTCGGGATTTCGGGTTCAGGGTAGAGGGGCTTGTGGGTTTTGGGGTTTTTGGGGCTTTAGGGTTTGAGGGTTTTTCCGGGTACAAGCGTGGCTGATGGCCCCATTGCTTCATTCTAGGCCCTGGATCTCACTTACTGACAAACCCTTGAACAATCCGTTAATAAAGGCCTAAACCCTAAACCCTTTAAAAGACTAAACCCTAAACCCTGAACCCTGAACCCTGAACCCTAAACCCTAAACCTTAAACCCTAAAGGGGCCTCCTCCGGAGCCTTCAAAAACCTCTGCCTCAGGAGGGGCGGACCTGGGTTTTGCGCAGCTCGGGGCCCCGCCGCTGCGGCCGCGGAGCTACGACTGGGGAGAGGCGTGGGTCTAGGGTTTGGGGTTTAGGGTTTAGGGTTTAAGGGGGCTGCCGGGGCTTCGGGAGCTTGGGGCTTAGGGGGGCTTAAGGGGCTTAAGGGGCTTAAGGGGCTTAAGGGGCTTAAGGGGCTTAAGGGGCTTAAGGGGCTTAAGGGGCTTAAGGGCTGAAGGGCTTAGGGGGAGCTTAAGGGGCTTAAGAGGCTTAAGGGGCTTATAAGGGGCTTATAAGGGGCTTATAAGGGGCTTATAAGGGGCTTATAAGGGGCTTATAAGGGGCTTATAAGGGGCTTATAAGGGGCTTATAAGGGGCTTATAAGGGGTTTATAAGGGGCTTTTAAGGGGCTTAAGGGGCTTAAGGAGGGCTTAGGGGTGGAGGGCTGAGGGCTCAAGGTTCCGGTTTTCGGGTTTTGCCGGGTTTTAGGGTTTGGGGGTTTAGGGTTGAGAGGTTGAGGGAGCTAAGGCCTTTAGGGTCGAGGAACAACGCTGGTGTGGGTCTTCTGGCTTGTTCTTTATAATGCCTCAAAGGGTATATGTAGGTCCCTCATTCCCTCATTCCCTACTAAGAACCAGGGGAACATGCTGCTTACAAAGGGCCCCTAGTTTCGCAGCAAGGGCTCCTGTCAGCCTCACTTTAAAAGCCTTAAGGGTTTAGGGTTTCGGGTTTAGGGTTGCTACTGGTGTATGCTGTGATCTTCCTTTCCAGTCTACATGGGAGTGGACCGCAGAGTTACCGTGACAAAGCGCCCAGACCTCCAGTTATGCCACAAAGGGTAAACACCGCGCCAAACTCTTCCCCGAAGATAGGTCACGACGCACAAACCAGATGCACATGGTATGAGTTCATCGTAGGACGTTGCACATTACACCGTTATTATCACAACTGAACGTACAGTGACTCTTTTGGCTTGATGACTGAATGCACGGCTAGGGCTGAGGGCATGTGGCTTTCCGCGCTTGGGGGGTCTGTCGGGCTTATGCTGATGGAAGGCGTAGGGTTCAGCTGAAGTTTGCCAGGAGGACGTAGGGGGATACAACCACAAGGATTGAGCCTCAATGCAAAATCTTAAACCTGCTGGGCTTTATCTGGACGTGCAGGTTTCAGGGAAGAGGTTGCAACGCTCGGTTTAAGCGGCCTTGGGATTTCGGTCCCTCACAGTTCCACAGAACGAGGCGGCACCCATGGCCGATGCAGTTCTGTCTGATGAAGGAAGATACCTTGTCATTACAAGGGCCCTTTGTCTGTTTAAGCTTCCTTCACAGCCCAAAGGTGTCGGGCATGTGCCCCCCCCCCCCCCGGCCCCTCCCCCACCCACCCCAAAAAAAAGAGTTCGTGAACACTGTAGACCACAGGAGTCGAGCGCGGGAGACCCCATGCTTGGGCGAAGCCAGGCCCGGACGACGCCCTCCGTCGGTTTCAAGGTTTTTTGCCCCAATCTTGGGGCTCAGGGTTTTGGGGGGTCTGTGGGTTTAGGGTTAAGGGTTTCGTATGCCCTCACTGCCTAGCTCGGCCATGCCCCGAAGGTCCGAAACCAGCGATCCACTTGGCGGGTACTCCGGAGCGCCTTGAACTTTACTCAACCCTCGGCCTATCTACGCCATACAATGCTAGCGACACCATCCGATGGAGGCCTCTTCGTTTCCGGCTTCGCCAGTACCCTCGCTCCCTGGCGGCGATTTCGGCAGTTTGGGTTGCTGTATGCCCTACACGACACCCTAAACACTCAAACGCAGGGTCTTCGAATCGTCAGGGGCAGAAGGTGCGAAGCATGCCATCCAGAGCAGCGGAGTCCCCAGAACCTGCCGAATCAGGGATTTAACCCTATCATACTTATCAAACGCTAAACCTTCAACCCCAAAACCCAAAACCCAAAACCCTAAACCCTAAACCCTACTTCTTGGATACCTGGAGCCGTCCCTTGCCACCGCTGCCGCCCCAGGTATCCTGATCGGCTCCTGTCAGGTAGTCGGGGCGCCCAGTTTAGGGGACTCCAACAGCGCGTTCGCAAGTGCAGGATTTGTGGTTGGTTCAGGATTACTATTGTGTTTTTTTGTTTTTTTTTTGGGGGGGGGAGAACCGTGAGCACTGGGCCCATGACCAGTTAATCCCACCCTCGTTCTCAAAAGAAATTCCGTAATGTAGCTCAACACCCGCAACTTGCAAAAACCCTAATCTCAAGGGCTATTCCCCGCAATTGTGTCAGAACTGGGGTCTCTGGGAAGGTATGCCATCCTCGCCAAGCCGCCTTTCTTCGAGAGAGCAGGCCCCTCTAGCAGTTCTGGACTCCAAGTGGACAGGTCGGATTGATGATGCAGGGTCCCGCAGTGCGCCAGAAATGAGACTGCGACGTGCTGCGACATGGCAATGGCAGACTCCTGAGCTGGTGTCTCCCCCCCCCCCCCCCTAATTAGCCGCAGTTCGCCTTGGCCATGATATATTCAGTGTGTCCCAAGCCTTTGTAAGCACACGGTGCGGGGTCAGCAGCCCTTTGGCCTGCTCCGAAAGCCTGGCTCTCTGCTACCAGCTACCACAGCAGTAAACACCTTTCCTCATTTCTACCGCCATGGGCAGAATCGTGTCCACCGCTTGGCTGTGTTGGCTGAGCGTGTGGCTGATTTGCCAACGTCTCGTCAGTGGAGACACGTGCTCAAATGGTGCCCGCAACCAGGCCGAGGGAGCATCGATGCTGTCCGCCAAGACGACGAAGGGTCGCATGGTGGGAGCCCTCTCTGACATCAATGAGTCCCTCACGGATCTGCTTACCGACAGCTTGGTGCGGGATGTCAATGACACCGCTCAGTTTCCTGATGCAGAAGCAAACAGCTCGAACAGCTCGGAGCATCACCACGGATTGGGATCTCTGTCGCAGCCCTTTACTTTCCTCTATGCCAAGGCAAGGGCATGGGCAGACTGATGCCAATTGCGCAGCAAGCGGCCCCAGCCCCCCCAAAAAGCTCTGGCAGGTCGCTGAGCTGGAAACGGCCGTGGAGTTGCAGAATATGGAGATCAAGGCCCTCACCAAGCTGCTCGAAGAGAAGTCGCAGCAGATGGCCGGTCTGTTGGCCGCGGTGCCTCGGCTTGCTGGGGCATTGTAGGGTGTTTTCTACTGGTTCGCATAGGCTGAAGGGCTTTGGTTTTGGGTTTTAGTTTCGACATGCTCAGGTACAACTCCATATCCAGCAGCCCGATCACAAGCATGACCAAAAGCATCTGAAGCAGCACGTCACGGAGGCCGAGACCCACGAACGAGCTGCTCACCAGAAGCACCGGGAGAAGGCGGGTGGGGCTGCTATCACCACGTGAGGTTTGCATCTATGGGGGCTAGTGTGCAACCCCCCTACGTCAAGATGGTCAGGTGTCGCAGCTGCAGAAGGACAAGTCGGTGCACGTGCTTCGGTCCGTCCTTGGCAAGCACGCGCACCAGCACAACCATGGCTTTACCGAGCCTGTGCCCCAGCAACCTGCGCCGGACCCTCGGGCCCCCGAAGCCCCTGTGGCAACCCCGGGAGCAGCGGAGTCGCTCAAGATGAGAGCTTCAGCTTTGCAAGAAGGCGGGCCAAATGACATGTCAGCAAGAGCATCTTCAGGGGGCCGTTTTACCACTTGGAATCGCCACAGGATTTGTAGAGTCGTAGCTATTGTCGGAGCCGATTACCGGAGCCTGTTTATCCAAATGTGCAGGCTCTGACGTCCGGGAGCTGGACGATGCTGTGGCAGGCAAAATGTTTGATGCTGTGAGTGACGCGTACAACGATGCCACGGACAAGGTGAGCTTCGTCGCCAACACGGTCATTGACACGGTGGAACATGCCATGGCCATCCTGACGCAGGGCTTCGACTTCGGAGCGAGTTGTCCAGACATGAGCTGGCCCTCTGTCAATGCAAACTCCGACAGGGTGAAGATCAACTTCGGGAGGCAAAAGTGCCAGGCAACGTTGGTCGGCCAGACCATCACACTCTTTAACTTCAATTTCGGGGAGTTGCGGCCGCATTTTCAAAGGGCACGGCCATGCTTTCCTTCAGTGGCATAATTTAATCAGGGCTTACGCATGCAAGATGTGCATTGTAGGTTGACAACTGAAGAGGAACACAGTAGCAGTAAGAAAAGGAAGTCCAAAGCGGCGACGATCGGAGTGAAACTCAAATTTAATGCTGGCTGGCGCGTGGAATGGCCTCGAGCTGAATGCAGACTCAGGGTTTAGGGTTTAGGGTTTAGGGTTTAGGGAAGCGCTCCTAAGCCCTGCCTGTTTGCCGTCTGTTCATGCTGAGGAGAAGTCCTTCGATTGGCCCGGACCCATCGCCACAATCGCGAAGCTGGGCTCCGCCATTGCTGACTGCGTCGGAGAGGGGGCTTCATTGGATGCCCTTTCGTGCTTCGCGAAGGTGATAGGTAACACCATGCTGAACGTTGTACCGCCCTTGAGCTTCCTGGCAAAGATGCAGGATATCATGGAGGACCACTGCTGAAGAAAGAATTGGATGCTTACATCGCCAGCAAAGTTTCATTAGTGGCCGACTAGCAGCAAAATCACAGAACCGATAAATCGCCAGCCCCAGCCCCGCTTACAATTCCAGGCCAAGCATGTGCCGACGCAGCAAGACATCAGCGGGCGACAGCTGGAGAGCCGAAACTGTAAACACCCACCCGGAATCAGAAACCGCCGCTACACTGACAAACACGTGTTGCGGGAGTGCCGGAGGAATGCTGTGAAGGCTTTCTGGGCTTTCAGGCTTTTGGCTTCTTAGCCTGTTCCTGGGGTGCCCTTTCTGGGCACACGGGGCTTGAACAAGCCTGGGCGGGCTGTTTTGCAACAAGGAGTTGGCAGCCTTTGTTGTATGACACGGCAGTATCCCCACTTCGCGACATGTTTTGGCCCACTGCCATTGTATTTCTAGGGGGTTGGTTGGTAAGGAAACCCTGGACAGAATTTTAACCGACGGGCCTTACAGGCCTTACAACCTAGAGAGGCAAACAAACAAGCCTAACAGACCTAGCATTCATGTCTCAGGATTCGTACGTAGAGTTGTTAGGGAATAGCATCCAACAAGCACGGTTTGTACCCATCAAACAAACTCATGAATGCCATGTTGCAGGGTCAGTGGGGAGGGTTGTGCCTGCCGTTGATTGACCAAGCCAATCCGTTTATCAAGATACTGGCATGTTTATCTAATGGTCCAGTGCGAGCCGCATCTACGAAGATCAAGCAGGTCGGCATGAAACACCCCCACCCCTGTCCAGCTCTGGGCCATGCACAGGAGTTCATCGTCGTGTTCGCCAAGATGGCTTCGAAGCTAGTTGAGAAGGCCATGAGCGAGAGCGGCACATTTATCCAGGAGGCGGTCCAGACGCAGACCAAGTTCCCAGAGGTTGGGTCCGCGGCTGTGGTGAAGAAGTTCCACAAGAACTTTGAGCTTCGCCTCAGCAGCCGCAAGCCCAAGGCCCAAAAGGCGCCGAAGCCCTCGCTCTTGGAGACCCGCAGGGAGCGAAGAGGCGACGACGACAAGCCGGAGGGGGGTCTTGGCTTTGGGGCCGCGGACTACGTGCCGCAAGAGCACAAGCTCATCACGCAGTTCAATGGTGTGGAGACCGACTCGGGATCCTGTCTGGCCTTTGCGCCAAGCGTGCGGGGTGGCCCTGGCAACACAGTGGAGCCGCGGGATTGGCAAACCCCGGGCCGACAGAGCGACAACGTTCCGAGTGAGTTTGTCAAGTTGGAGCCTTGGGCGGTGCCTTGTGCGAACTCGTGGATGAAGGACAACCCCAGCAAGTGGCAAGGATACTCCTTCTACACCTGGGAGACGCCGCTCGAGAGGTGCGCCACTGTGGTCTACAGCCTTGGCCTCCAGCCGGTTCTTGCCTTCGTGGGCGGCCTTGAGTTCGACATGATGCCGTCGCCGATTGCGGAGGCGCCTTTAACGATAGTAGTATTCACGTGCCCAAAAATCCACTACGACTTTTTTGACACAACGTGAAACCATGTTAGTGTCAGTTATTTCTGTTGCGACGATTGTCATCGGCACCGTTGTCCGAGAATACCTCCAAACCTCTTCAATCAACACTCATCATCATCCCTATCATCATCATCGTCGTCGTCGTCGTCGTCGTCGTCATCATCATCATCATCATCATCATCATCATTATGTACGGTTAATGTGTAGTGCACACGAACGTAAACACTTAAATTTGTGTTTTTGTTATTTCTGTTATTATAACACAAATTGTTACACATGTGTATGAGCTTGCTAAATATACAGTTGTACTGTATAGGGCAAGTGATCTCGCAGAGGAGCAATTCCCCAAGTAATCAGATTCCCTTATAAAAAGGGCCCCAATAAGGTACCCCTAATCTCGGAAACCCCCCATGTGAAGGTGGAAACGTTCGTGTGCTGGCCCGACACGCAGCCTGGTGGCCCTCAGCTTAGTAGCGGCGCAGTTCCCCGAAACCCTGAACCCGTTTCATGCCATCCAAGTGCCAGTTTTCCATGGTTGTCTGCCTCGGATTGTTGATTCTGCTGAGGTGTGGATTTGAGTGCAATTGAGACTTGGTAGCCCAGTGGGAGCCTTTTCCCTTTTCGATTTTTGGTTCAAGGTTCCCTTATAAAGTAACCCAACCCCAGAAAGGGTGCCTGATTACAAGATGGTTACTGGGCTACCAAGGAGATGCACATCATGTCGGGAGGGGTGCCGCTTCTCACCCGGACGATTCGCTTGAAGAAGCGTTTCGGGTCGGGCACCGGCTTCAGCAACGGCCACCTGGCAGCCCAGTGGTGCCCCCGCCTCAAAAGGGGCGCCCTCATCATGAGATGTTTGCAACCCTAAACCCTAAACCCTAAACCCTAAACCCTAAACCCTAAACCCTAGACCCTAAACCCTAAACCCTGCACCCTTAAGTTTCTGGGCCGCTGAGGCAACATCGGAGCCACCACCGCCAGTGGCAAGGCCAACTTTGGCGTTCCCGAGGATGGTGCGGACGACTCGGGCCTCAACGCCATGGACAGAGATTCTGGGACCCCAATGCCCCTTTTGAGGAAGGGCTTAAGGGTTTAGGGTTTGGGGTTTAGGGTTTAGGGTTTAGGGTTTAGGGTTTCAAGGGTAGGCCCTTCAGGGACATGTTTACATGTTTCCCTTATTGGGTTGTAAGACTCATATGCAGGAATGTTTTTTCAGTGGTGTTCAGGGCCCCACCCAGGATTCCCTACTCCAAGCCAATGCAAGCGGCGAGTCCCATGGTTTCATGATCGAGCAGGACAGGGAACGAAGAGTGCAAAACCATCGTCACCATATATATGTATATACACATACAATAGAAATCTATATTGTATCATACTATACTGTGGTTTTGTTATATTATGTTATATTGCATTATATTATATTGTATTATATTATATGAAATTATCTTATACTTCTTCTGCCTGATATATGTATATATAGGTATGTATACAGAATCTGCCCAGAGTGCCCAATGCTACATGATCCCTGGGTGGGTTTTCAACATAGCTATCATTGCATACCACAGTTGCTGAGTGCCCTGCCGTTGAAGGGTCAGGTGCGTGTCATGAGGCATCGGAGAGCAGAGTGCGAGAGCAGGGCGCAAAATTGACTGAAGAGGAGCACTTTATCGCTTCCATGCTCTACGACGATGAGATGGGTACCAACGTCACCGAGTCCTTCCACGGGGCTGAGGCAGCGCGGAGGATGAAACCGCTGTTTCCCAAGGCCGAAAGCCTCGTGGAAGCCCAGGGCCAGGCAACAGATGAGCACGTCCTGTTCTCCTTCCGGAGTCCCAGCAACGGGCTGGTCGGCTTCGAAATCCAAGGCCTCTTGAGCGACAACAAGCTGCAGCTGAGCGTGCAGATGCTGCTCGAACGAGTTGGAGCTACGTCCCAAACACGCCTGCAAAATGCCTTGCTTTCATTGTGCTTCTGCGGCTGCGCAGGGAGCTTGTCGGAAATGTTCCTAAAGGTAGATTCCACATCTCTCTCTTCTGAGGCAGTTCGGTCCCATTACGACACCCAGAAAGAGGATGACCATTATGGACCTGGCGCAGCAGCTTCAGATCATCCTGACGGCCATCCCCTTCATTTCTGTTTCGAGCAACCTACTGTTGGTTAGTAGGGAATGAGAGGGTGTTTTTCTAGGGGGATTTAGGGTACCTCACTCCCTCATTCCCTACTAACCGACAGTGAGGCAAGGCCACGGCCGTTCAAGCCATGAGCAACTTTGACACCTTGGCGGAGTCGCACATGCCAACCTCCACAGATCAGGGCATCGGGGCCTTCACAAACTACTGGATCATTTCTGGCGAGAACCACCGTTCAGGCCAGCGAGGCAAGATGATCTACTGGGACAATGGCCCCAAGTCTGATCCCTTCAACTCAGCCCCCACGTCCGGCTGGCGACTGGTTTCCGATGGAAATGGTCAATTCTGGCTTGTCACGGGTTATGCCGCGTCGCAAGCCGGAAAGATGGTCTACGTGAAGAATGGCGCCTTCCACTCTTACAACTTCAATGAGGCGCTCCGCTTGTCCTCGAGTTTGGGGGGGTTTGGGGTAGAGGGTTTAGGGTTTAGGGTTTAGGGTTGAGGGTTTAGGGTTTAGGGTTGGGCATGAGTCATCAGTGTACTCGGGTGTGTCCACCTGATCTCGTTAGCATGCACGTTCCCAGGCCAGTCTTACCCTATATCCTAACCCATGGTTAACTAATCCCTTAGCATCGTGCAGGACGCAAAGTGCAAGTGGAAGCTTGAGGAAGACGGAGGCGAGTACTGGCTGGTCACTGGGCCCGAGCACCACACTCCAGGACTTTCTCCTCGGATTTCGGGTCGCGGTATCTAGGGTCGAAGAGGTGGGTTTTTGCCGGGGTTTTTGGGCATGCCAATTCCGCGAGAGAGGTATGAGGGATCGGGGTAGGCCGCTGTAGGGTTCAGGGTTCACGGTTTAGGGTTTAGGGTTTAGGGTCTTCGGCTGCCAGGACAGATGCTTTACCTGACTGGAAGTGGCTGGAGCTTATGGAATTTTGGCCGAGACCAAAAGTGCAAGTTCCGAGTTGTGGAGGTTGAGTTCCTTGGTAGCCCAGTGGTACCCTTTTCCCTGTTTTTTGGGTTCATTCGCTTGTAAAGTAGCCAACCCCAAAAAGGGTGCCCTTATCACAATATGGTTCCTGGGCTGCCAAGGTTCAAAATTCAGCCCTTCATGCTCTCGCCCGCAGAAGTGTGGATCGTGACCGCACCGGATCACCGGGAAGAGGAGAACATGGACAACAGGATGATCTTCTGGAAGGCCTCTCAGTGCAAGCACTGAGCTTATTGAAGTGAATCGTAATAGTAATAGGAATAGTAATTGTAATAATAGTAATGGTAATGGTAATAGTAATGGTAATAGTAATAGTAATAGTAACAGTAATAGTAATCGGAATAGGAATAGTAACAGTAATAGTAATAGTAATAGTACTAGTACTAGTAGTAGTAGTAGTAGTAGTAGTAGTAGTAGTAGTAGTAGTAGTAGTAGTAGTAGTAGTAGTAGTAGTAGTAGTAGTAGTAGGAGCAGCAGCAGGAGTAGTAGTAGTAGTAGTAGTAGTAGTAGTAGTAGTAGTAGTAGTAGTAGTAGTAGTAGTAGTAGTAGTAGTAGTCGTCGTAGTAGCAGCAGTAGTAGTAGTAGAGAGTAATAGTAGTAGTAATCGGTAACAGGTAATAGGTACTAGCAATAGGAATAGTAAAAGTAAAAGTAAAAGTAATAGAAGTAGTAATGGTAGTAGTAATAGTAATAGTCGTAGAAATAGGTAATCGGGAATAGGTAATAAGTGATAGGTAATAGGTAATAGGTAATAGGTAATTGGTAAATAGGTAATAGGTAAGAGGTAAGAGGTAGGAGGCAAACATGAAAAACGTAATAGGTAATATGGAGCAACAGTTTTCACAATCGTAGTAGAATAGTTTTAGTACTAGTAATAGTAATAGTAATCGTAATTGTAATGGTAATAGTAATCGTAATCGTAATGGTAATGGCAATAGTACACTAGTAATTGAAACAGAAATAAGTATTAGTAATAGTAATTGTAATAGTAAGAGCAAGAGTAAGAGTAATAGTAAAGTAATAATTAATAGTAATAGTAATATGAAAAGCAATAGTAATAGTAATAGTAATAGTAATAGTAATAGTAATAGTAATCGTAATAGTAATAGGAATAGTAATAGCAGAAGTAGTAGTAGAGTAGTAGCAGTAGTAGTAGTAGTAGTAGTCGTAGTCGAAGTAGTAGTAGTAGTAGTAGTAGTAGTAGTAGTAGTAGTAGTAGTAGTAGTAGTAGTAGTAGTAGTAGTAGTAGTAGTAGTAGTAGTAGTAGTAATAGTAATAGTAATAGTAATAGTTATAGTTATAGTAATAGTAGAAGTAAAAGTAATAGGAATAGTAATAGTAATAGTAATAGTAATAGTAATAGTAATAGTAATAGTAATAGTAATAGTAATAGTAATAGTAATAGTAATAGTAATAGTAGTAGTAATAGCAATAGTAATAGCAATAGGAATAGGAATAGGAATAGTAATAGTAATAGTAATAGTAATAGTAATAGTAATAGTAATAGTAATAGTAATAGTAATAGTAATAGTAATAGTATAGTGTATAGTATAGTGTATAGTATAGTGTATAGTAGAGTAGTGTATAGTATAGTGTATAGTATAGCGTATAGTATAGGAACGTATAGTATATAGTAAAGTATAGTATAGTGTTTACCTGGGTAACAGGACAAGTAACAGCAGCAATACGTTGCCACCAGTACTTCTGAAGCATCTCTACCCTTATCAGTGCGTGAAAGACAGCCTGACAACGAAGGCTTTCAAGAAGGGTTGCGACATACTGTTGAATGCCTTCAATGACAGTTGCAAGGGACTACAGTAGGTTCTGCTTCTCTTGTGTGTTGAAGATTTTGACCTCGACGAACGGTCGAACAGACAAACACCAGGAGTGATACAATTTTGTTGACAGAGTGTGCAAAGTAGGGAGGAGCACGCACACACACAAGGTGCACACAGAAGTATGCTGTTGGACTTCTTGTCAGGCCGGGGGCCCGGACAATTATGCCCTCAACTATGACCCAGCCTGCCGGTGGATCTTGAAGCCAAATGGCAACGGCGAGTACTGGCTCGTCACTGGCTCTGGATCTGATTCGCCTGGGAAAATGGTATATTTGAAGAGCGACGCCTTCTCCGTCTGGAATTGGAACGAGGATCCTAAATGCATGTCGGCCTTTCTTGGAAGAACTGTTCCTAGAAATTTATCTCATGTTGAGTTCCTGTGTGAAAGAAGTATCCCCACAAATTTCTGATCCAGGTTTGTTCAAATTTGTTTCGGCCGGCGATGGTGCGTTCTGGCTGGTCACAGCTTCCACTCATTGGACTCCCAACAAGATGATCTACCTTGTCGGTGGGGTGTGGGGTAAATGGAACTTCAATCACGACCTGAAAACCAAGTTCAACCTGTACCTCGGCAGTTGAGTCGAGCCACATGCGCTTGCGTGCTCGTCGGAGTCTCGCTGAAGGGGCCAAAGAAATTTCTGCACTCTCGGCATGCTCCCTTTTGCTGCCACACGTAACACACCCTTCAGCCCAAAACGCCCCTAGATCTCTACATTCTACAGGGGGCGCTTCGCTTGTCCCCTTGTCTGGAGGCGTTGCCCTCCCAGCGGTGGCGGGCTTAGAGCAGGTCCTGATGTTCATGTTATCCAGGCTATCACTGTGAACTCGAGACCCGACTAAACCGTAAACCCTAAACCCTAAACCCTAAATCCTAAACCCTAATATAAGTACCCTGAACCTCCAAGTGGTTCTCGAGCCCGGAAGCCCCGAGGCAAGGTGATGCATGGCCAGACCGATTGGGCCACGTGCCGAGGCCGGTTTAGGTTTTAGGTTTTAGGTTTTAGGTTTTAGGTTCTAGGTTTTAGGTTTTAGGTTTTAGGTTTTAGGTTTTAGGGTTTAGGGTTTAGGGTTTAGGGTTTAGGGTTTAGGGTTTCGGCTTTTGTTTATTGTTTCCTAGCTCGCGGTCGTTAAGCGTTCGTCGTGTTCTGCGAAGAGGAGTTTTGGGGGGTGGGCATCGTTCGCAGGTTTGTTCTTGCTTCAGGAAGCCCTTGAGGTTGCGAACTCGCACTTGCCTGATCTGTGGCGAGGCTCGTTGGCCTGGATCCGCTTCGGCCTCCTTCCGGGGAGGCTCCTGGGAAGCTGGGGTTTTACACAAGATGTGTTTTGGGGGTTTTGGGGTGTTCAGAACATGAGGAGGTTTAAACCTTGGGGTTGTCAAGGTAGGGCCCTTTCTTTTTCTTGTTTTGCTTGAATTGTTTTTCTCTTTCTTCTCTCTCACTCTCTCCTCCCCTCCCCTCCTCTCCCCTCTCCCCTCCCCCTCTCCCCCGCCTCTCTCCCCTCTCCTCTCCCCCCTCTCCTCTCCGCCCTCTCCCTCCCCTCTCCTCTCCCCTCCCCCCCTTTCCCCACGCCCTGTCTCCACCCCTCTCCTTGTCAATCCTTTGCTCTGGCGTTAGCGGTGGCCGCATCGTCTCGCACATGTTTTCAAATCAAGGTGAGGACCTGGTGTCCGGGGACTCGACAATCAGACATGAGACTTCCGATCATACGCCCTGGGCCATCTAAAGTCCCGTGAGAACGTGCGTTTCGGGGCTTTCCACCAGGGGGAACCTTAGGTTACATACCCCACTTGAAACACCTGCCTATAATTAGAACACTATGAGAACCCAAACCTCCTACACTCTGAAGCTGCAGATTGGCGAGATCACAAGCGCTACGGACGGCAAGTCGTTGGTTTTTGGCAGCACGAAGTACAATAATGCTGACGCCAAGACTGTGACCTGCGGCAACCCATTATTACGGCACCCCCCGCCCCCCCGCTTTGGCAGGCCCAGCCTTCATGGCCCTCGTCCTCCTCGCGCTTGCCCTCGGCCTGGGACCTAGGGGACCGGGGCATACCTTAGGCATACCAAGGCCTACCTAGGCAGACCTAGGTATACCAAGGCATACTGGTAGTTCCGGAGACAGCCGCCACGAATATAGTTTCTACAGTAATTATTGATATCCCTCGACCACTGATGGTGCTTCTGTTTCCTCCTTCTTTCGGGGTCACAGCTTTTTTTGCGACTTCTGCTATTGTTATGGTTCTTCCTATCGGGCGACATCTGTCTGTTTTGATGAATTCTGCATTTGTTTCTTGCTTTGAAGTGTGGAAACACCTGGACATGGTGCAGGGCATGAGGCACATGAAGGTACATACAATGTTGAGAGAAGGAGGCCCTCCCTCTGTGCAAACAATCTCTGGTCCTGTCTTTCCAAAAGCTTAGTGTGTAGTTTGTGAATTGATCTGTAATGTACGGAGCGTGTGACTTTGTGATTAATCTGTTATGTACGGCAATGTACGGAGCGTGCATGTAGCCAGCCTAGTGAGCCCCAAGCACGACTGAAGCAGCAATAAAACAGCCGAATGTTTCCGCATGGTGGACGACGCAGTTAAAGTTTCAAAGCTCAGTGTTCACATGCACGTGTTCTCCCCCAAGTGGGCTGCCAAGGGGGCGAGCGGCGATGGACACGTACCTACCGTGGTCCACGCGAGAGTGCCCCAGCATCAAGAGTTATGTGTAACCCTAAGCCCTAAACCCTAAACGGAAGATGTCGAAGTTGCACTTCATCTGGTCATCTGGGTGGAGTTCTCCGAAAACAACGGAGACCTTGATTCATCCGTGGTTGACGTCTTTGGAAGTTCCTTGCTTGAAGTGGTTGGTAACTCCTTGGTTGAAGTCTGAATTCCGAGAGCTCCAAAATGCTAGGTGTCCTACGGGTGATTGAGTTTGGCAGCTTCTTGAGGGTAACAGGATCATCCTCCCGTTCCGCCAGCCCAAACACAGCATGCGAGGTGCTGTCGCCTTCGCTGATCGACGCTGGGCTGCACGGCCCTGCTTGCATATGTTTTTTCTCTGTCTGTGCAAGCTGACCGACGCAGTGATGCGAACGATGATGCTGCCCATGTTGCAGCCGAACGATGGTAGGGCCGGGTAAGACATGTGTGTGCGGCCATCACGTTTGTTCCCAGGTCGGCATGGCTGAAAAAGTTCAGAAGCCCAACGGCGCTAACATGATGTGAGGGTTTCCAAATTGGGGTCGGGGGGCGAGCACCCAAACATGCCCCAAAAAACTGTAGTTTTCATCATAGGAACCCCTCTCGACATGTACCCCTATCTTGGGAAGCCCCATGATTTGGTTGTCTCGGTGTTTGTCTCTCACTGTTCCCAGATCCCCACCCCCCCTCGCCCCCCCGCCACCAAACGCCCCCAAGCCCTCGCCCGCTCCCGACCCCACTCAACCGCCCAAGCAGCAACCCTCCCCAACCCACGCACCGAAATCCTGAACCCTCAGCATGAATAAACCCTAAACCCTGAACCCTGAACCCTGAACCCTGAACCCTGAACCCTAAACCCTAAACCCTAAACCCTAAACCCTAAGCCCTAAACCCTAAACCCTGTTCCTCCAAAGCAAACTCAGAAGCGGCCGAGGACCCTGCAGAGCCCAGGCATGGCCTCCATCACAAGCCCACCTTGTCGGGGATAATCATCGGTGCCTATTTGGGGGTTTAGGGTTTAGGGTTTAGGGTTTAGGGTTTAGGGTTTATTTTGGGGTTTCCGAAAATAGGGGTACCCTTTTTGGGGTTCCTCTAAAAGGACTATATGTTTTTTGGGGCATATGATGGGTACCCCTATTTTCGGAGATCCCCATTCAATCGTCCGTAGTTGGGAGTGTGTATTCGAGTACAAGGGGGCAGAATGTTGGTCATTTTGCGTATCTTCATGCTGCAGATTCAGCCCGAGGGGGTGGAGCTTGGCTTAGTTAGGGTTTCCGGGTTGAGGGTTGTGTCTTCACAAGCAGAACTGTAGGAGTTGGGAAGAACCCTGTGAACACCAATGAAGGGTGGGTGCATCCAAGGACTTGATGCCTTGCTCGATTGTCTGGGATTCCCAAGTTGCCCAAGCTACCCTAAACCCTAAACCCTCAACCCTAAACCCCAAACCCGAAACCCTCAACCCTAAACCCTAAACCCACAACCCTAAACCCTCAACCCTAAACCCTAAACCCCAAACCATGCTGAAGTCGATCAGGAGTGGATCATGGCGAACAGGCAGCTGAAACCCTGATGTCTAAAAACCTCATGAGGTAGTTTCCAAAATTTGGGGGTACCCTATTGGGGTTTAGGGTTTAGGGTTTAGGGTTTAGGGTTCTGAGGTGTTGCAGTTCACGATGTTAGGGGTATCTTATTGGGGCCCTTATTGTATGGGAATCCTACTATTTGGGGTCTATCTCCGGGGCCCCCTGATTTTTGCAAACCCACACGAGGCCCTTCCAGCACGCATCGGAAGTCAGGGCCAGCAGCCGCTAAGAGTCTAAGCAGGATTTAGGGTTTAAATTTAGGGTTTAGGGTTTAGGGTTTAGGGTTTAGGGTTTAGGGTTTAGGGCTAAGCCATTGAAAACAAACCTTGCAAAGTCCTTGGCAGTTCTGAACCCAACAGGGCCTTAAGGGAAATCCCCGAAAATTTGTGTTGAGCAGGTTATGATGATTAAAGCCCCTTGTAGGATCTTGAAGTAGCACATAGGGTTTAGGGTTTAGGGTTTAGGGTTTAGGGTTTAGGGTTTGGGGTTTAGGATTTAGGGTTAGGATCTTGAAGTAGCATAAACAGGGGGAGGCCCGGGTTTCAGCTTACTCCCTGAAGCATCCTGCTGCCGAGCACGCCTCGTTGAAGGCACATGGATGTGGCTGCAGGTTGGGGCGCGCCTCTTTTGTGTTTCTTGTGGTCTATATAAATCCGAAACCCCTCGGAGTATGGGTGATTCCTTATTTCTTCTCAGTGTGTTCGGAGGCTCACCCCGGGACTCTAGTTGACTTGGGTATGGTGCCATGAGTAAGGAATATAGCAGACTACCCTACAACGGTAGAGCCCTTACCTGGGACCCTATTTACCTACGGCTTAGTAGTAAGTACCCTTATCTAGCAGGCATAACCCTTAAGGGGGCAGACCTGTCTACTCGGGGCGGGGGGGGGGGGCGGGGGGGCTTACTAATGGGGGGGTAGGGCCGGCACACGTGGCTTCTCAAAATGTGTACGACAATTTTTTTTGTGACCAACCCCCAACCCCTATCCCCTAAACCCTAAGCCCTAAACCCCAAACCCTCAACCCTAAGCCCTAAGCCCTAAACCCTAAGCCCTAAGCCCTAAGCCCTGAGCCCTAAACCCGAAACCCTAAACCCTGAACCCTAAACCTGGCGGACTCCGGCCCACTTAGCC